CTTTTATTTTAGTAATACTGTAATCTATACTAATTATTCCCCTAGTATAACCAGTACGGGTACTCAGTGTAACCGGTACGGGTACTTGGTTATTGGTTTTGTTTTATGTTTTGTTTTAAGTATCGCTTTGATACTTGGTTAGTTTTAAGTATCGTTTGATACTTGGTTTTGTTTTATGTTTTGAAAACCCGTGGGGTATCTTCTTCAGAGTTGCTGTAGGCTTTGTGCCGTGGCTGGCTATTCCTACTAGAGGATGTCTGTGTTTTGTAGGCCTTGGTCTCATGGAGAATGGCGTCCTTTCATTCTGCTCTTGCAATTATTACTGCAATATCATCGCGGTCTTCCTCGAGTGGTTCTACTTCTCTCCGGAGTGTAGGGTGCATAGCGTCGTAGAATTGTCGCTTCAGGATGTATTTGGAGATACTTCCTCTCTCCATTCGGTCCTTGTACATCATCAGGTCCATAGCCACATTGGTGATTCGCTTGACGTGCGTTCCGTTAACTTGCTGGAGCTGGTTGAATTTATTGTATTGGAGGTCGTTGGTTATAGAGGATTGGAATCATCCTTTCAGGTAATCGAGAACTGTAGTTCCTCTTAATCTTACATTTCCGCCAAAATCCTTATAGCATTGGTGGTATGCGTCAGTTGCCTTTCCTTCGCAAAATGATCCAATGATAAGTCCGGTTGTAGGATCTTCCACATCTTTTCCTTGTAAGAGTAGGAAGTGTGGGAGTTCCGTCGCCCATCATTCAAAGGCTTCAGGTTTTTTCTTTTCCTTCTCCTGTGAACTTTGCTGTGAGGTGGAGTTTAAATTTAGGGGGTTCAAATACTGCAGGTACCTCCTCTTTTTCAGGCCTAGCCCGAGATTTTCCTCCTCCAGAAGGCCCTCCTCCTGTGCTAGCAATATCTGATTCGCTACTGGATTCGGGGTCGATTGGAGGATCAAAAGAAGGTTTCTTTGCTGGAGTAGAAGGGAATTCTCCTGGAGGTTGTGTATCTTCCGTATTTGCAGGATCGCCCGGCTCTTTAGCAGAGTGCCGGGGTTATTTCTTTCTTGTAAGGTCTTGCCGTGGGATTTGCTTCCCACTCCTGGTTGTCAAAGACTCTATCTTGGGTTTGAGATGAAGCCGAATGTGCCGTGATTCTGCCGCTTCTCTCCGCTAGCGTTCTGAGGTGGATATCGATAGGTTGATCAGGCCTAAATCCGGGGACAGGTTCTTAACCACTTGCTGAGGTTAAAAAAATTGTAACGTGTTCGCAAGGTGCTAATCACGTTAACGGTAATAGGTACGATAGTTGGCAGGTGGCCTGCTCTTCCAGAGAGAAGGCGAGAGCTGAGAACTAAAGGAGGCTTCGAGAGTGTACTGAGGAACAAAGAAGTAACTGTTCAACCAAGTATATTGATATACTGTCTGTCGAAGTCTGCCCTTTCTATCGTAGAAACAGGCCGTCTTTAAATACACAAATCTGTTCATGTCTTAACATGAACGAAACTAATCAAAGGTATCAATCGATACACTTTGGTAAAACTCCTTAAGTATCAAAGCGATACTTAAAATAAAACATAAAACAAAACCAAGTATCAAACGATACTTAAGAAGTTTTACCAAAGTGTATTGATTGATACCTTTGATTAGTTTTGTTCATGCTAGACATGAACAGATTTGTGTATTTAAAGACCGCCTGTTTCTACGATAGAAAAGGCAGACTTCGACAGACAGTATTTCAATATACTTGGTTGAACGGTTACTTCTTTGTTCCTCAGTACACCCTCAAAGCCTTCTTTAGTTCTCAGCTCTTACCTCCTCTCTGGAAGAGCAGGCCACCTGCCAACTATCGTATCTATTACCGATAACGTGATTAGCTCCTTGCAAACACATTACACCTAGGCCTATTCAGATTCCCTCTTCCCTGAAATGTACCCCTGTGTGCCACCATGCAAGCCCGGTTCATTTCACAAACGTCATGACGTGACGAGTACAATAAATACACCAAATCCTGTCACCCGGCCGTTCTCTATACTATTCCATTTAAGGAAGGCTTCATGAATTGTGCGTTGACATAATTTACTGTGATTCAACAATCGGTGACAACCCACCCCTCTTCATCACCCCACACTCTCAACAGTACCTAAAATATTTGCTCTAAGTCAACCAAGAAGAAACCATTCTGCTCAATTCTTTTTTTCAATAAACTATGCCTTCTATTCTTTGCAGTCATGCTAAAAAACCTATTCCCTTCACACATCTCTCTGAGTTTCCCAGGGAGAGGATTCTGAGGTTACACGAGCCTCAGATGAGATATCAGCAAATTTCCCACTACCTTAATACCCTTAGACTATTGTCAGAGACACAATTGCAAAGGGACATCAAGAGGGCAAGGAGAATAAGGGTAGAGGAAGACATCCTAAAACTACTAAGTCACAGGATGATGCTATAGTGGAGGAAGCTCTTAAAGATCGCCATACTACCTATTCTGACATTGCTGAGCAAGTTGCTCCCAATGTTTCTAGTAGGACAGTAAGGAGAAAACTTGAAAAAAAGCATCTTAGAAAGTGTATAGCACAAGAGAGAGTTTATTTGGATGAGGATCTAGCTCAAGAGATGTTGGAATGGGCATTAGCTCATAGGTATTGGACCAAGGAGATGTGGAAAAGAAAGGCATTGTAGGGAGATGAGGTAGCTGTGGAAAGGGGAAAAGGAAAGAGGAGAAAATGAGTTTTCAGATACTTATATGAGAAATAGAATAAGGATTATGTTGAATCTAAGGCTAGGAGAGGGGAAAGAGGGATTAGCCAGATGATGACTGGTTGTTTTTATAGTCAAACTCATGGTCTTTTTTTGCCTGTTTTTCCTGATCCTTCTTGTGCTAGGAGTGGAGTTACTGGGAAGTCAATTATTAATGTTTATGATTATTATAACTTTCTAGGAATATGGCAGAATATCAGAGAAAAGGCTGGAGAAGAAGAGGTATTTTTTATTATTGACAATGCTAAGACTCACTTGCCTTTTAGGAGATGACTCAGAGGGCAGGGAATTACACTGATGGAAATTCCTGCCTATTCACCAGATCTCAATCCAATTGAAAATATTTGGTCTCTGGTGAAAGGTAAGCTTCACAAGCACTACCCTGAGCTATATCTTATGAAGGGTGATGTCAATGTGGTCAAGAAGGCAATAGTAGAGGCTATCACTCATTGTTGGGAACTTCTTGACCCAAAGGTTTTTGATACTTTAGCTGGATCAATGGTGGATAGAATAGAGGCGATTATTAAGGCTGATGGATGGTATACCAAATATTAATTTCTACTATGTATTTACATCTTTTTTTTTTTTTTTGGTTTTCATGATAGTAGATTGGTGGGTGAGTGTGGTTGTCATCGCTGAAGATTTTCCTCTGTTGAATCGCGGTTAATTTTGTCCACGCACAAAACAGTGTTCTGTTGCCCGGGGATTGCGAGTATCATGGACTGGATGCCAGTACCTGGGCATGGTCACAAAGCGCCGAAAAAAAAAGGATTAAGCAAGATCCTAACCAGAAAAAAGCGAGCTATAGCCTCTAAGATTCTTGAAAACATCCTAGCTATCCATTTCCGTCACCAAGCACTTCTCGACAAAGGACGATACGTCAAAGATCTATTGCCCTCCCCCATAGACTAATACAGTGCTCAAGCAGATAGACTGTGTGCTTTTTTTTTGTTGCATTTATTAGATTATATATACATACATACATATTGGAATATTATTATTATTATGTTGTAGTATAGCGTTTTTATTGTTTTTAATTGTATCATAATTATTATTTACATAGCGACCAGCACGGGAAAGAACAGAAGCGAGTGATCACGAATGACCACTCAGCTCAGAACAGAACATCCTCAGTATCAGGCTCTACGCCAACCCCAGTACGATAGACAATACCGACAATCAACGCCCAACGCCCAACGCCCAACAATCCCTCCCCTCCCCTCCACAACCACCACCACCACCACTGCCAAATCAAATGGCCACGGAACCCCTCTACGCAGTCACGAAAACACCGACAACTCCGCACCCGCAGGACGAAGAAGTAGCAACAATAGCAAACGTCGAGATACACTCGGTATACGCTGACCGCGAGGCCGCCAATCGTGCGGCTAGGGCACTGCTGAGGCAGGCGGCGGCTCGCGCTGGAAGACTTGGACGTCACGGGAACCCGACGGGTGGGTACGAGGAGAGTATGGGAGCTGATCTGTTGTATTTCGGTGGGTTGGAAGTGGAGGGGGAGGTGGGGAAGGTCGAGGTTAGGGTTTTGGGTGTTTGTGGGTATTTGTAAGGTTATTCTTTATTTTGGAGGTTTTTTTTTTTTTTGGAGTACAATTATCATACCATTGTGTACGAGTACTGTACTGTACAGTCCAGTAGTATCAGAGTATCAGACTGTGGGTTGAGTTTTTGTCGCGTGGTCGCGTGCGTGGGTTTCATTAATTTTTTGGGGTTAGTTAAAGTGTTGCTTGCAGGGGAAAAAAGAAGGAAACGCGTCCCCCTATGTTTTTTTCGTGGTGGGTAACGTTGATTGACCCTTTCTTTATTTGTATCATGCTTCAACTCACTACCACCACTGATAGTGTTACCAACTAATTGACTGGCGATTGCTCCTTCCTTACATTCTCTTTCAAACATTCACGGATAACTTCTTCTTCATCTTCTTCTTCGCCTCGAGTCATATTATTACTCCCTTCGCTCTTTGGTCTAATCCTTTAATCCTTTAATATAGTCTTCTTTTCTTCTTTAACTTAGGGATTATTCATTCCCTATGTATGTCTTTTCCTGTTTGAATAAGTAGGTACATTTAAACGAGAGGGAAAGGGATAAACACTTTCAAACGAGGAGCGGAGCGGACGGATACTTTACACTCTGAAGATATACCAAAGTTGTGTGAATAACAACGCGTTTTACCTACCCGCGACTGCCCGCCCGTTTACCCGCCCGATCACCGCAACAACTGCCGCACAGACAGAATGTACATCCCCCGACCCCTCTTCTCCTCCGCATACGCCCACCTGAAAGCCCATGCGCACTCCACCAATCCGTCAATTCTCCTCCTCTGCGCTCTGGACACGGATTCTCTCTGCGCCGCACGGATCCTGACCCATCTCCTTAAGCAAGACTACGTGCCGCACAAGATACACCCGGTCGCGGGGTACCAAGAGCTCGAGAATGTCAATGAAGCACTTGTTAAGGGGAACGAAGAGTTGCGCTTTGTGATTTGCTTGGGTTTGGGGGGATTGGTTGACATTGCTGCCTTTTTGGACTTGAATTGTGGGCGAGGAGGGGAAGAGGGAGAAGAAGGAGGGAGGGCAAAGGTGGAATGCTGGTTGGTGGATGGAAGGAGGCCGTGGAATTTGTATAACGTTTTTGGTGGTGGGGGGGAAGGAGCGGATGGGAAGGTTGAGGATGGGAGGTATGGCGTTGGGGAGGGAGTTGGCGGGGTAAAGTGTTTTGATGATGGTGATATTGAAGAGGAGTTGGAAGGGGAGGGGATGGCATTCCGGGCACTGATAAATATGCCAGAGATTGCCGAGGATAGTGATGA